TTAGATCATTTTAATTCTCCTATGCCAGAGCGTAACACAATTCTGAAATGTGAGAATAGACTCTCATAATCACTTTGTGGTTATGAGAATATTAATAAATAAGTAGGGTTTTCTCCCACTTTAAAAACTATTCCTTCCACTTTTTCTTTCTGGTCACAACTGATGAAGGAAAGGGAGGCGTGGCTGTGCCCACTAGGATACAACTAGTACTTTACATGTCATCTGCTCATAAACATGCTTCCAGCTTCTTGATTTTGTTCAAGAGCCTCTAAAGGCATAAAGCCTAGTAAAGGCATAAAGTATGTTGTTGGGGATTTTTACTGTAGGATTTCAATGCGGTGATGCTCAAGGCTCTATTTTGCCCCCGGTAGATATAAAATGTATCCCATGGAAGCAGCAAAGGCCTTGCATGCTCCCCTTACCAATTAAACAGCCTACCTACCTCCGATGGCATCGCCACATCAACAGCCGCTGTGCGAGCAAGCTTTACTAAGTCTCTCGGAGTAGAGAGGCTTTCAGAGCAGAGAATAATTTCTTAGGTACAAAAAAAAGAAGCTTTTTAAACCTGATTTCTAGAAAGTAATTATCAAACGGCATGGTCGCCTAAAGTCCCATTGATCTAAATTTCTCTCTCCGTATGAACTTCACAGACTTGCATGACTTGGCATCATAAAAGCTAATGATGATTCATGCGATTAGCTTCCGGAACCCAAGTCCCTAGGAACTCAGTTTTGACCTTTGATTATCACTTTTCTCCTAAGGCGAGGAAGATCATCCTCCAGACACTCTCTAATCACCCTGCAAGACCTGGGGAATTCGTTAAAATCCAGACAGGGTGATGAGCTTGAATGGTGCAGGAGAGTAAAGGAAGAGAATACATTTGACAGTATCTCCACCTAGCCACCTGGGGAAGCCTTAGAAAATAACATTGCAAGTTAAAAATTAGATTATATAAAACCCAAATGGGCAAGATTGTAGGGATGCATGCTGAATGCTACAGTAGGTTGATTCTCTAGGAGAACTTATAGTCCTCTTCCCAGCAACCCCGTGGAAGGTGTATATGTTCATTTACCCTTGATAAAACACGCACTGGGCTCCCAGCATGGTGCTAGGCACTTAAATTACATTCTGTTATGGCAATATAGAGGTAATTAACTCTTTAAAATGAGCATTTCAGTGTTCTATGCTTTAACTCGTTCTTGATGCAAGTGTTGATTAATGAAGTCATAAAGAACAAGTTTGTAAGAAAATTCCTCTTTACTGATCTCTTTCTGACTTCCTCCTCCTCTCCAACACACACACACACACACACACACACACACACCCCACAATTTTCTTTCCATTTTCCCATTTCAGGATGGACCAATGTGATGTGAGGCTCCTCTTCAGTGATCAAGACAAATCAATCAATACATTTAAAAAACTTATTAGAAGAGATTGAATTCTCTTAGTTAATACATAACACTTTAAACTACATTTTATTTAGTGCGTTGAGTGTATCATATACCACGGGAATTGAGGTCAGAGGACAACTTGTAAAAGTCAGCTCTCTCCTTCCACCATATGGATCCCTGGGGCTGATGTCAGATTGTCAGGTTTGGTGGCAGGTGTCTGCCTGCTTAGCCATCTTAGTCCCAAATAACCTATTTTTAAATTACAAAAATTGAAGGCATAATCTATTAAGGCAATAGGGCATCTTTGTTGAAATTTTAGTAATAGTTTTATAAACAAATACTCATTGAAAGGTTAATACCATTAATATCAGTACCATCAAAGACATTTTTATATTAATTACAATCAATATAAAACAGCAGAGAGTCCATTAAACAGTGTAGAGTCCCCTTAAACCTAAGATAACATAGCTCATCCCTAATATAAAAGAAACATCCTGCTTGGCTTATTTTTTATTCATTCTTTGTGGAATCATAAGGCTTTTATGCCAACCACCTTATTATATTCCTCTCTTATTCTTAGCCAGTACTATGGTCTTATGCCAATATTTATAGCCCAGATTTAATATAGTCAATTTTCCACTCTTTTAGCAAATATACGCAAAATTGTTCAGTAATATTCTTATAATATAAATAGTATCAGTTGTTCCAAGTATTGTAGCTTTAAATATGAGGCTCTATATGTTTAGAGTTATGGAATTAGTTTTATTATTTGGTTGAAATATCTTCATTAAAAGTATAATTTTGAAAAGATAATAAAACAACAATTGTCACCCTTTATAATGTTCAAGCCTTTAAAGTTATGTGTTTTAATTGTGCTGGTTATGTCGCAGGGAAGAAAGGGGGGGAAAAACTTTTGCCAGGAAACATTAGCACAAACAGCGTTGTGTACCTGATAATCACCCTATCTCAGCTTTGGCAAAAGAGCCTCTTCAGAACGCAATACAATCATGTGCGGAAATAGGTATTTCCCACCCATGAAGAACAGCTACTGTGAATTAAATTATTTCACATCTGAGAGAGGGCAGCGTTCTTATTAAATCCATGTTCTCCACCTTTTTTACAACGGCCTTCCAGCAGAAACCTACCTTGCCTAGTAGCACTAATTACAAGTTAAGCCTCATACCTGAGAAAGGCAGCTAGAGGTTTGATTTTGTTTTCAATCTCTATTTTAAGATAAGGAGTACTGTGGTAGTTTAATCACTCAGATGGATGAGCGAGAGGTAGAACTAGCCAGATTCCTCTTGTCTACTTTTCCACTTTCCCCATCTCTTCGGCTAGGTGAATCCTTATTGCTTTAAATAAAGAGCAAAGTAAGTCCTCCTTTGGAGATAAGTCAGACATAGGTAATTAGGAATGAAAAACAAAAACCCTTAAAACCGTTTTCAGTGAAAATATAATCGGGTCATTAAATAATCTTTTAACATTGGTGTTTCTGCATGCCAATACCCATAAAAACGCAGGGAAACCTGGCACCAACATACAATCTGTTTGATTACTTTTAGAACGCTTTCTTTTTCTCTCTTCCTTTCTCTCTTTAAAAAACAAATGAACAACTACCAGAAACTTCATTGCTCTTAATTATTTCACAGTTCTCTCTGTCCGGCATTAATGCTGAAGATTCGTTCTCCTCAGAGCTGAATCCACGGAACACTAAGGATGGGAGATATCGGTGTTGTATACCTCTGGATGCTGATGGTCTTGAAGCCTTTCGATTGCTCATGCCTGCTCGGTTGTCTTAATCACTGAGACTATGTCATGCAGAACTCATATCTTTCAGAAGTAGCAACTGCAAAGTAATAATACAAAAAATAAACCAAAATCGCACAGTTGGTAAGATATTCAAAGAAGTCATAAAATTTATGTAGCTATTTGTAGAGTTCAGCCTTTCAAGATTTAAAATAACCTACCTCTTTCTTTGGCAGAAAGGAGCTTTTTATTGAAGTTCTTTTTAAATTTACATTTTGGTTAGAGATATTTCTAAATTATACCTGCTTTTGTAAAAGATGAATCCTTTAATAAAACACTTATTTCTATTTTGAAATTTATGTGTGTCTAGGTAGGAGTTTGCACAAGGGAGAACAGACATTTGAGATAATCAGTTCTTTCCTTCTAACGTGTGGGTCTCGGGTTGAACTTGGATGGTCAGGATCAGCAAATGCTCTCAGGCTTGGAGCCATCTCAACAGCTTCTTACTGTGTTTGGACTTTCTAAAGATTTGTATACTTTACACATATCAACTGCTCTCCTCAAAATTTTGAATAAATCACACGTTTTTGTCTTTCTCTCCAATACTTCGTTCCTATATGGATTTCCTTGAAGATACTGTTTTTCCTCATTATGCAATAATAACGCATATATGTATAATTTAAAAAATTAACAGGTAGAGTCAAGACGTCCATGTTAGAACATAAATCAGAGAAGTGTGGCCTTCACCTCAGTTTTTAAATGTTATGAGAGAGAAAAAAATGTTTACTCTCTGTTAGTATGGCCAGTTGTTTTAGAAAGAGATGGCCTGGTTAGATGGGTCAAAGGGCTGAGGGGAAGGAAAGGATAGAACACACCAAGGATCTGAGAATGTTCTTGTAGTGAAAACGTGGTGATCTAAGGCAAGTCTATTGTACAATGAACACTTCCTTATAGAGCCCAGAAAGTTTGTGCAAGGTTTGTTTCATAAATCAAATAATACACCTTTTTTAAAAAAAAATAAGAAAAGTAGATGAAGAAACGGATGTTGAGCGCAATAAAAACTGAGCCACTTAACAACTAGCTAACTGAATAGAGACACAGAAATAAAAATAAAGGACATACTGAATCTCAAGGCACTTATCAGAAAATGATGTAGTTAAAATTTAAACATCTAATTTTTTCAACACTCACCAAAAAAAAAAAAAACCCAAAAAACAAAACAAACAAACAAACCAGCCGTGTGAAGTGACTCTTATTATCTCCATTGGACAGCGAGGGTCATTTGGGGGTGTCCCTTTCTTCTTCAAGTCTTCGTGTAAACGTTTGATTTCGTTCTTTTCCGTGTTTCTAGAAATTAAGTGTGGAAGCTTTTAAGTAGTACTCTGGGCCATTTTGATATATCTGCAGTGGAAAATTAAAACACTCCACAAGGAGGATTATTAGTGTTTGCGGCGGGGGCTGGGGGGGGGGGGGGGGAGAGTGCAGCAGGCGAGGTTTCTTTTATCGTGCCCGGCCAAACAGAATCACTTAGTGTTCAGACACATTTGCATATGCATTCTTAAAACCTCTTGGGTCAGAAACACTTGAGAGTCCCCAAATGAGTAAATAAAACCAACGTGCAAGTGCTAGGTAATTAAGTCCCCTGTTTAAACCGGACTGGCTTTCTCTGTGTGGTGTCTGTTGTTTATTTTCCTGCGGTGGTTGTTTTGCCGGGTTCAAGTTTAAACCGAGAGCAGCTAAGGGAGGTCCACGCGGCCAGCAACTTTCAGTTGTGTCTCTTTCCTAGCTTGGGCTAGTCTAGGTTGAGGACTAGCAGAGGTATCCCTTTCCAGCTGCCAAATCAAGAAGGACGGGGGCGCTGTCTGGTGACTTCGCTGGCTTCCTTCAAGGCAGTGACCACCTCCAGGGATTTGGTCTCCTGAAGTGCCTCTTCTACCAGGGGTCCCTAGACCGCTGCACAGCGATGCCAGGACGCTGAACCTCCATGCCAAGGCTCTGGGGACAGTCACCCGGAGTGCACGGTCACGCCAAGACGCTCTCCGGGAGCGGTCAGAAAGCGCCCCCGGCCCGAATTTGTGGGCCGGGCTTCTTCCGTGCGTCTTCAGCTCCGGGCCTTGAGCCCCCAACCCTGAGCCGGGGCCCTGTCTCCCCCTCCCAACAATCCCACACCCCAGCAGCATCCTCTCCCGGAAACAAGCCTGCTGAGCAAAGGCGGAGGCAAACCTTGGGCCTTCCGCTCTGATTGGTCTTCCCCCGCCGCGCGGGGCGAGGCGACGATTGGCTGCCGGGCGTTGTCAGTCGCCGAGGCCAGAGCCGTCGCCGGGGAAGCGCAGCCCGGCTCCCGTGCTCCCGCTGCCGCCGCGGCTGCTCGGCTGGTGCAGCTGAGCGAGCCCGCGCGGGCACCACCGCCGCCTCCGCCGCTGTCCACCGCGCGCAGCCAGCGCGGCGGGGCTTGCAGGAGGCCGACGGGAGGGGCGGGCGCGCGAGCGGAGCACGAGGAGGCGGAGGCGGGGGAAAGTGATGCTGGCGCCGGGGATCCGGGCAGCGGCAGCGGAGAATAAGCATCTTCGGGACCCCGGCTGCAGCGTCCCTCTGGCCCGCGGGCCAGCTGAACGGCCAGAGACCGTGCCTCTCGCAGGTAAGGTGCGGCTCTTTAGATGGCTTTGTGATCTTAGGGTGCTTACGAGGCGCTTAGCGGCCAGGGTATCCGGACAAGGATGTTTGGCACCTGGACGGCGAGTCCTTTGCCTGGCCAGACTGCTGCTCGTGCCGGTGCGGCTTCAGCTCCTGCCTTCTGGCTTAGGCAGGGACAGACTTTGACAGCGCGTGGATGGCATTGTGTGTGAGAGAGTGTGGGTATGTGTGTGTGTGTGTGTGCGCGCGCACACACACACGCACGAGGTTTGGGGCACTTTGCAAGGAGGAGAGGAGTAGGTCCTCTTTATGTGGACCTGTGCCCTTCAAGGGATCCCGGCTGGGATGGAGTGAACAGTATGCTTTTAGCTTGGAAGGAGGGAGAACTCGGAACACTGGAAAGTCTCCCGTGGTTCAGAAGGAACTCGGCAAATTGAACTTTATTGCCTTAATGAAAAGGAGCCTTTGGGTCTGGTGCGTCAGGGGAGAAGCACATTCACCAAGGCTCCCTGGAGTCTCACTTTACGCCAGGGACTTTGGAGCAGCGAGTACTGCTTGGTCCTCCTTACTGAAGAGGAGCAAAGAGAAGTTATGCGGGGCGAAGGCCAGAGGCTAGGCTTTGGTGCTGACCACTTTTAGGTTGCAGAAGCCCGGCATGGGAGACTTTGTACACTCGCATTCCGCTCCAAAGGATTGGCGCCTTTGGACTCAGGTGGGAGGCGACTGCACCGCAGGGCTGAGGTGGAGTGGAATTAGTGTGGCTGTTGGAGGAACGTCCTGGAGGAGTCACTTCCTCCTGGCCCCCTTGACAGGTGTGCCGTCCCGTCTTGGGACTTAGTGTGTCCTGGGACAGATGCTGGGCGAACTGTTAAGCTCCCGAATACTTCACATCTGCTGGGATCTGGGCCCCCAGACTCGGGAGCACCCAAACTAACAAAGCTAACCAAGGTTTCTGTACCCAGCCTCTTTCAGGGCGTATGCTGTTTTTGTTTTTGTTTTACTCACATGTTCCGTATTGTAAAAGCATCGCGAGTACCATGTACACTGCAACCTCTTTCGCGGAAGATGAATTTTATGCGCCGCAGCAACTGGGTATTGCTCTCAGCTGAGTCCGGATCTCCGTAGCTCACTGCAGTGGTTACCCCATCCCTGTTTAGGACGCACAAACTTAGAGTTAGCGACTGTTTTCTCTGGGATCCGTTGCCTCCATAGCAATCTCTCCCTTTGAAACTTCGTGAAATATTTCAGCACTCAGGCACTTTGCCTACCCTGTTTCAGACGGGAAAGACTCTGTGACAAGAGATGGGATTGCAGGGAGCTGTCAGGGTGGGGAGGGCAGCTCCCCTGGCTGGCAGTGTTGGGAAAACCAAAATTAGCTCAACACATTGGAACTGGATCTTGAACTGGCTACAGCGCTTTCTCTGTTTGAAGCTGTGTTATCTTTTAAATCAGAGGAATCAAGCACAGAACAAACCCAACCACCACCACCACCACAACCACCACCACCACCACCAAAAATGCCCAGACTTAAGACGCAGAAACAGCTTTGTTCGGGTTCATTCCTGGTTTGGTACCAGTGAAGATGAAAGTACGGCGTCCCATGAGTATATTATCGGCAGCAAGGAGAGCACTGTTTAAAACCTCAGGCTTTTGCCTCTAGGTGTTTTTGTAGTTTGCAGAGTAAAGATTCTGTTTCCCCTCAGTTTAGTAACTGAGTTATTCTAAAAGCGATGAGCAATTTATAGTGAAGTTGCGGTGGTGTTAATTTTGTATCTGAGGGTAGCTGCTTCAATAGAAATTGGTACCGAGTATTCGTAATTAATACTTATGACTTCTGGCTCCAAAATCTGTTTTTCTGATATATTTAAAGTATACATTGTTTGATTTCCGATCAAGATTCACCTGCCTCCAGGTGATTTTTTTTTTATCATAGCAACTTTTAAGTTGCTGTAATAGTCGGTATTTTGTGACTATTTTTAATATACTAAATGGTTGGTTTTTTGAAAACCTGTGGACTAGCAAAAATATTTGTGTTCACTTTGACTTGGTATGAAGGTACTAAGATTAAAATGAGTTACACATTATTAATAAATAATCCCAAATGAAGTTAAACTCAGAGGAAATAAGTAATAGCAGCTAATATTAAAAATTGAACTTCTTAGGAGAATTTTGACAAATTGGCCAATAAAATGCCTTTCATGTAGCTATCAAGTACTTTCTAAGTAGACTGCATTATATATTAGGGTAAACTACAAGCCTTAAAATAGAATAATGTGCTCATTTTATGGTGGCCCTTTTAAGGAGAGGCTTATACTTTGGGAAAGGAATCTTTTCAGATAAATATACCTTATGAACAATTAGAATAAATATATTAAAGTTTAGATAAAGATGTGTATGCCCATAAATCAGGATTAAAAATAGAAGGACATTTATGTGTAAGCTTATTGAAGATGCCTGTAAAAGTCAGGAGGGGAGGCCAGTATTGGTTTGTGGGTGGTAATGGGTACAGTAGCAACCTAGTTTCTAATCCTGTCTGCTAGCCACTCTGTCCTTTCTCTCCCCATTCATGCATGTATATGCCATGCATACCACACACACACACACAGACACACACAGAGCATTTGAAGTATGATAGCCATGCATTTGAAACAATTTCACATTCCATTTTGCAGGAGAAATAATATTAATTTGTCAATATTGTCAACCCTTTTGGTAATCTGTTATTGATTATGATGCTTAGTAAAGTAAATTTGAGCAAATTGTACTTTGATCCTAATGTGTGGGTAAAAGGCCTTGTAGGTGTTAGGACTGTATCACAGAATAATGACAGAGACAACCGCCATTGTGTTCTATTTAGATAAGCAGATCACAGAAAAACAATAAAACTAGCATACTGATCTTCTACCGACGTGTATTTTCTACACCCTTACTTCAGGGTTAAGATTTTCCATTTCATTATCTACTCAGATAATTCACATTAATTTATATATCCCCATCAAGTACTTTAATTGACGTTGATACTATCAAGCAGTCGCAAAGGTAGCCCCATGCCTGCTGGTCTTGCATCTCTGGATGAGGCCCACAAGAACATCTGCTGGACGTGAGTGTTAAGGTGACGGTTGGTGCATCTGAGACAACCAACCAAGGAGATGACAAGATGCCTACCCTTTAAAATGTTTAACATTCAGTCAGATGTGGTGGCACCCACTTGTAATCCTAGCCCTTTAGTAAGCTGAGGCAGGGGGAGGGATTGTGAATTTGAAGCCATCCTTAGCTACCTAGTGAGACTGTGTCTCAAAAAATTGTAAATCAACCCAGAATACTTTTCAGAGGAACGAAGGAATGAAATATTTGACCTTTAGCATAATTAATCTAAATCAATAGTTTAAGAAGACGTTTATGACTATCTAAATTCAACTTATATATAAAACATTATCCAACGGAATATAGTGAGTCAGTGGTGGCTAAGGATGGATTCAAAGGCATAATTTTAATGAAAGAGTTTCTACTTCTTCTACATTGAAAGTGTCAAATCCATGGCATTTGTATAGGCCTATCACAAGCCCTGGATTTTGGACTTAATGTTGCCATTAAGATTATCATCAGTAAAAGACTTATGATCCAAGTCTCTGGTAAGAAATGCCACGCTTACAAGAAAGTCTGCCTTTAGTTAAAAATCAAGTTGGTTATCCAGACAGTTCAGCTACAAATAAAACTTGTCAAAAAATGTGCCTTTATTCCATTTCCGAGAGAGAGAGAGAAAGAGGAGAACGAGAGAGGGGGAGAGTGGGAGAAAGAGAGAGAGAGAGAGAGAGAGAGAGAGGTGGGAGAAAGAGAGAGAGAAAGAGAGAGAGAAAGAGAGAGAGAGAAGGGAGTGGGAGAGAGAGAGAGAGAGAGAGAGAGGAGTGGGAGAAAGAGAGAGAGAGAGAAAGAGAGAGAGACTGTAATTATAATTCCAATTTTATTTTCTGTGCTTCCTTCTGTTCTATCCTTTCTTGACTCTGAAATTAACACTTACCCCATGTGAACAGTGGACCCAGCTTAGTTTTTCAGAAACTACCTTTAAATAATATATTCATATTAGAGGAAAGTGATGTTTATGCTCTCAAGAAGCCGTGCTGCATAATAAGTGACTGCCAGTTTGCTCTGCAGCCTTAGTGTGTTGGAGAACTGTATGCGATGTGTAGTTAGTACCAAATGTTATTTCTCATTGCTTTTTGTCATCCAAGAAAACATTCGAAAGTTAAGAGATCCAGTCTAGGTTTACAAGATATGGAAAGCCTTCTGATATTATCATCTCAGTATTTTGTTCTCCAGAGCCATAAAATATATATCAACCACTCAGTATTTCATCACTCTTATGGTATGTTGCCCTCCCTTCATCCCTAACTACAAACTTGAGAAAACTTGTGTTTTACCAAGAAAGTTAGCCGGTGAGTATATCTAGCACACCCAATCTGATGTGGAAGGTGTTTGATAAGAGCTAAACGGGAATCAAATGTTTTAACTTGGGAAGAGCACAGATGCTTAGTCCGAGCGTCCTCCATGAATAAGGATGAATATTCCTTCAGGATGTGGTGTCTGAAGCCAGTGAAGGTGGAGCTAGGTTTAGAAGGAGCGTTTGAAACAGTCTATCACCATATACATTTACCCCGAGAGTTAATGTTTTCTAAAATAGCCAGGAAAGAAGAAATGAGAGCATCTAATCATTTATACATATAGTATCTCAACATATGACCCAAATGTTACATTGTATTAATACTATAGTGGACTCAAGAAGCGGTGAATTGTGATGCATTTAAAGATGTTTTGGAAAGTTAGTTGGATTGTACATAAGTTTGCAATGAGATGTTTGTTTTTATGTCAGTTTTTTTTGTATCTATAGAATATAATTGTCTATGGTTTCTAAAGCTAAATTTATAGACTCATCGAATTTGCTCTACATGCTAGAATCTCTAAGTAGAAACGTCTCCATTTCCGGGGTCTGTGAAATTCAGCGATTAA